TTTGCACCTTTAGAACATGCAATCCATAGTGAGTATGTTGCTATGGTAACACTGTGTCACCTCCCACAGCGATAGGGATGTGATAACGCAGCACACAGCAAGCTGTTGTGGATACGTCGTCCTCTCAAAGAGCAAGCCAGCTAACCTGGCTTGGGTCCCAGGCCTGCGGTTGATGAATTATTGTTTGTTTAGGGTCTCTGTGTGGTTTACAAGATGGTTTCAGCCTGGGATGCTCATTTGATGTTTTTATTTGTTTTTATGGATTGCCCAGTCTTGTAGGCCACCCAGAGTCCATTGGAGTTGAGTGACTAATATATTCTATCTTATTTATTTATTTATTTTTGTCCATTGCTTACAAGATAATAGGTATAAGTAAGAACATAGTTATGAATATATGGATACATATCAGAAAAATAAAGAAAAATAAAAGAAACAATAGGACAGGGATGATAGGCACGTTGGTTCTAAACAAACAAAGCATTGGACCTGGTTGTTATCTAAAGAACTTCAGAAGAACTTCAAGGACTATAGGCCAGACTGGGAGATTCAAAACACATCCTAGGAAAGACTGTGGGAAATTGAGAGAACCACATGAATGTATCTAGAGAGCCACAGGAGTTAACTTCCATGAATCCGTGAGTTTTTGTCTGTGGAAATTCTCCATCATGTTTGGGTCAAGGTTGTCCCAAAGCTGCTTTTTTTGTTTTCTTCCAAGAGGCAACTGGACTTTCTATTTTTTCTTTGAAGACATTTCGCTTCTCATCCAAGAAGCTTCTTCAGCTCTGACGGGATCCATCCACCATCTAGTCAGAGCTGAAGAAGGTTCTTAGTTGAGAAATGAAACGTCTTCAAAGAAAAACCAGAAAGTCCAACTGCCTCTTGAAAAAGCATCTTTGGGACAACCATGATCTGGATGATGGAGACCTCCCTAGACCTTGAAGGAGAAGTTCTGAAGAAGCTTCTTGGATGAGAAGCCAAATGTCTTCAGAGAAAAAACAGAAAGTCCAGTTGCCTCTTGAAAAAGCACCTTTGGGACATGAGTTTATGTTCTTCTGCTTAGATACAGATACTAACTTTTAAGGTTAGTTAGGGACAAAATGATCAGGGGCAAGTTTTTTCAATGTCTCTCTCTCTCTCTCTCTCTCTCTCAAAGGCTCCAATCACCTATGAGGCTCTTATGCAAATAGAATATCTGGATATGGTCCTTAGCGAAACCCTCCGAAAACATCCAGGCGCCACACGACTTCAAAGAGTGTGCAAGAACACCATCAAATTAAATGGAATCACCATTCCCAAAGGGATGGGTATTACAATTCCACCTGTCATCTTGCACTTCAATCCAGAATATTGGCCCGAACCTGAGCAATTTAGACCTGAAAGGTACCCTTTGATATTTCTCTGGGTTTTTTTTTTTTAATTCTTCCAGTTGTCGCAATCAATGACTTGACCAGTAGTGGGATTCACCCTTTTTTCTTTTACTACCAATTCTACGAGAGAGCGCTTCACATGCACAGCCTCCATAAACCACCCGTTTTAAACTTCAAAACTGACCTTGTATTTAGCGCTGGTGAGTAAAACAGCTGAAGCATGGCAATGCGCTCACAAAAAAAAGGAAATAAAGCATAGGAAAAGGGCGGGTGGGCGGCGTCAACGTCTCACTGGCACTACCGGTTTACTAGAACCAGTGAGAACCGGCAGCATCCCACCATTGGACTCGATGGTACAAACATCAACTTGGGTTGAATCTTCCAGACGGAGAGCTTGTTAGGTGGTCTTGGCAATGGCCAAAGTTGGCTTGCTTGTAAGGCAGAAACATTAGGTGCCTGTAACGGGCAGTGAGAATAACTTTGGGAGATGGAAGGAAGTAGCTGCAGCCTAAAGAATGGTCTGATAAGAGACATCTACATCCGGAGGAGGAATAGGGCTGAAGGAAGGATCTCAGAAAGGATCCTTCCTATTGAACATAAACCTAGAGGAGGAGAGAAAGAGATTTCAGACTTGCAAGATTCTGTTACTGTCACCTCACCGTAAAAGTTCGGTTAGTATTCCTGGTTTTGCTTACCTGGTCTGGACTCCCTTGAAGGGCTAATGGTGCCATCCTAAGACTCTTCCAACCTGGCCCCTTTGAAGAGTCCCAGGAACCACTGGGAAGATTCAGAAGAGGCGCAACTTGCTGAAATGAGAGGCAGTCCATTCATGGAATGAATTGGTGGTTGTCAGGTGTGAAGAATTAAGATCACGTGTTCAACTCCAGTTAAGCTGATTTAGATGCTGAGCTTGTCGAGCAGGAAGATCGGCAGATCGGCAGTTTGAATCCCTAGTGTCATTTCACGGAGTGAGCTTCCGTTACTTGTCCCAGCTTCTGCCAACCTAGCAGTTTGAAAGCGCATAAAAATGCAAGCAGAAAAATAGGGACCACCTTTGGTGGGAAGGTAACAACGTTCTGTGCGCCTTCGGCATTTAGTCATGACCATGACCATGGAGATGTCTTTGGACATCTCTACATGACCATGGAGATGTCTTTAGACAGCACTGGCTCTTCGGCTTGGTAACAGTGATGAACACAGCCCTCTAAAGCCAGAAAAAACTAGCGCATATGTGCGAGGGGAACCTTTATCTTGCACCCAAGAATGAGCACTAATTTGGTGCTAGATAAGAGTTAAGGGAATTCGAGACAGGTTGGACTTAGACTGTTTGTGGGCATGTAACAATTCCAGGCTGATTGCTCTCTTGACTCCACCCCCAGGCTCTGCCTGTCCTTTTCCTACAGCGGTTGACTATTGTAATTGACGGAATGTCGGCCTGTCCCAACAGATTCAGCAAAGAGGTCAAAGAAAAGATCAATCCTTATACTTACTTGTCTTTTGGAGCTGGTCCCCGGAACTGCATTGGGATGAGATTTGCTTTCCTTACCATGAAGGCCGCTGTAGCCAGCCTGATGCAACGGTTCACTTTCCAGCCCTGCAAAGAAACTCAGGTGAGGATCAGGAACAGAGCTGCGTTCGTCTAGAGAAGGAAAAGTTGGCATCAAACTCCCCCTCCTCGTCTTTCTTTCACCATAGCAGAGACAGGAGATCGAATGAAAGTGTCATGCAGACAGCTATTCTGGAGTGTAAAAGCTCGACAGGTAACGCTTCACCTGCAGCCCACATAACACCAAGTATTTGGAAGATGCCGCTTGCATTTTTGGAGGCTTAACCCTTAACTCTCCCTTCCCGGTTGGAAGAAAATAGAAGCGTGGATTCAAAAGCTGTGTTCTTGGCCCATCTCTGTCCTTCTTTTGTAGCATGGATCCAAGTTCCAACACCACAAGGGAGAAATGCAAATACATTGCTAATGTAGAAATACATTTATATATTCCCATATAGAACTCAAATCATTTATTCCCAGTCCTTTTCGAGGAGTGCTCAGGTGTTCTTCCTACTACTGATGTCACTAATCCCTAGCACTGATGATGTTACCTAGTTTGAGTAAGGAAATCTCCCTTCAAAGCATGAGAATAGGAACAGCTAACAAAGGAGAGAATGTTTGTAGCTCAGGGTTGAAATGAGAAGTCCTCAGTGCTCTCTGTAAGCTTGGTTGTTTTCTTGCAGTCATTTTATTACCAAACTAGGTAACATAATCAGTTCTAGTGATTAGCAACATCAGTGGCAGGAACAATACCTGAGCCTCCTATGAAAAGGACAGAGAACAAGTGATTTGGACTTTACTCCATGAGTGCAGAACCATTGGTCTTCATTAAGCTAGTCCAACTTGTTTCTGCATAATGAATTGTGAAGATCTTCACTCATGCAAGATCTGGATCTTTTCTTCTGAATCATGTCTGAAGGACGCATCTAACCCTGCTTCACCAAGAATGGTCAGCCACGAATTGGCCAGCTACTTATCTTCAACTAAAGCTACAGAAGATAGGATAGATTCTCTCTATGGGTGTTATTTTTTTTTTTTTCTAAAGAAAAACTTATTGTCCAATTATGGGAAGGCAAGAATCAAACCATGAAGAATTGGTATATATTAGGAAATATATTATAGGGCAAAATGAGATTTCATCCTCCAACACACTAAAATCACTTGGAATGGACAATCCGTAGACTGGAAATTCTTAAAACAGCAACCTACCCTCAAATGAAGTAATCCTAGGAAACATCCAACACCCTTCCCTAATGTATATTCTTCCAAATTTGTAGATTCTGAGTCCCATCATTCCCAGCCCGCTAAACCCAACGATAGAATTATACTTGGTAGAATGAATAGATGATAGAAATCCAGGCCTTGCTCTGAATTCCACTGCATTTTATTTCCTTGTATTTAAACACATCTTATTCATGTCTTTCCTGTTGCAGATCCCATTGGTGTTTTCCACAAAAGGGCTCTTCAGAAGGCCTACAAAACCCATCATCTTGAAGATCATCCACAGAGTCTAAACCGAGGTAGGGATTTCCCCCCCGCCCCCGGCCCTTAATGGAGTTTCTATGCAACTTTGACAACTTAGAACTACACCTTAGAACTGAGACAACTTAGAACGATGCCGCCTTTGGACTGACCTAAGCGTATTACATAAAATTATCTGCTACAATGTCCTACCTGTCCATGACTACTTCAGCTTCAACCACAACAATACGAGAGCAGACAATGGATACCAAACTCGATTGCAGAAAATACGACTTCAGCAACAGAGTGGTCAATAACTGGAATGCATTACCCGAGTCTGTGGTCTCTTCCCCCAAAGCCCCTAAACTTTAACCTTAGACTGTCTACTGTTGATCTCACCCCATTCCTAAGAGGTCTGTAAGGGGCGTGCATAAGTGCACCAGTCGTACCTACCGACCCTGTCCTAATGTCTCCCTTTTACTCGTATCCATTTCACGTCCCCATAATCATGTTCCTAATTATATCTGTTATCTAAAACATGCTTGACAAAATAAATAAATAAATAAAATAAAAATAAAATTTTAAGGACTATTTTTTAAAAAAACTGGAAAATGGATTTTACCTGGCTATTATGAACTCTCCTCTCTTACTCTCCAACTCTCTCTGTCTGTCTGTCTCAGTCTCTCTCTCTCTCTTCTCTCTCTCTCACTCTCCGTCTCTCTCTGTCTCTCTTTTTGTAGATAATTGTAGGAGATTTAACTAGCATGAAGATCCCTACTCCTAAAGATGGATGAAATCTGCCACTTTCGTTTTTTCCTGACTTGTTTTGTTTTGCCACTCAGGTTTTCTCTCTGTCACTCCACTGAATCGTATTCCATATCTTTACCCCCAAAGTGAAGTGGACAAAATTCTTCCTCAATTGGAGTAGCCAACGGGAAAAGAGCAGAACTGTTCAAAATCAGAGTCCAGTCAGGCCAGGATAGAAAACTGGCCATTGAAATCATAAAGATTGCATAACAGAGGTTTTTATTCACATGTCTTGCATAATGTTTGTTTGGAAGCCTGGACAAGTATTTCGTAACTAGCTATGTGGAGGAATGCCAAGAATTTAATAAAAAGTCAGCTATGTTTTCCTGCATCGTTCAAATGTAAATTCTGGAGAAGGCAGGCAATAACTGCTCTCCAAGAAACAGTTTTTAATAATAAACAAACTCCAATAAAGGGAAAAAAATAGGTTCTGAAGCTGTTCTTCAGATACACCCACTTATATAATAGTTGTGGAAGTGTGAATACAAACAAAAACTCCAAAGCCACTGACGTTGCCAAGTTTTGTGTTTGTTCTTTTTTTAAAAAAAAAACAAAATCCTGGTGGTATTTTTAGGAAGGTAACAGAATAATGGACTAAAAGCAATATTTGTGAACACCCAGAAAGCCTTTCTTATTTTCATTTGGTTTAGTGTGGAAGGAAGGAAGGAAAAAAGGAAAGGAGGAAAAAATAGGGAAGGAAAGGAAAGTTCTCTTAAAGGAAGGAAGGAAGGAAGGAAGGAAGGAAGGAAGGAAGGAAGGAAGGCTGGGAGCAGGGAATGAGGGAAGGAAAAGAAGGGAAGGAATATCCAAATTATTTTCAGCAAAACGATGAGGAAAACATACACATTTTTTAAAAAACAGCCTCAGAAGAACAAAAGGAAACATAGAGCAGGAGAGAAATATTTGCATTTAGTAATCAAAACCAGCTTTTCTAAGTAGGATATTTAAAATGAATTATTGTTAATCTAGGTGTAATATGCTACCCCCACACCCCCACAGTGCACAAAGCCTTCAGAAACAAAATCATTAGTGTAACTGCATGTGCTGCTTATTCTCTTTAAGATAGGAGGAAAAAAAAAACCCCACAGAATAATTCTGTGCCAAGAGACAATTAGAGCCTGCTGTTCCCTCTGCACAAGGCCATATGCATCAAGGGGTAACAAGATAATATTAATAAGCATTTTGCAGAGAAAATTAGATCAATAATGATTTGGCGGCACAACATCTAATTTGACAAGGATACCCCCAATGAGTTGGCAGAAGAAAAGCAAGACGTTGCTGGATACCTTCACCTTAATCCCACCTTCTTTTATTTTTAGCTCCGGTTAAAGGCAATACAACGAGTGCTCGAATTAGGACCCCGACTGAGCTCAAAATTTGTGTTGCTAAGTGAGACATCTGTGAAGTGAGCGTGGGCCTATTTCCTGGCCACCGTTGTTAAGTGAACCACTGCAGGGGATAAGTCAGCCACAGAGTTGTTCGGGGAATCTGATTTTGCTTGTCAGAAGGTCGGGAAAGGGGACCACATGACTGTGGGAACGATTTCATAGATTTTCACGGGTACAGGTATGCAGGGTCTTTTCCCATGTAAGATTGAGAGTATCTTGGCAAGGTTTCGACAAGGTCCCACTCGCCATCTTCAGGCTGGTGCTTTCGGCTTCGTGCTTGTGCGAGCACAGCGTGATCGGAGCTGCCGCCTCTCTATAAATACTGGTGTGCTTTGGTCATTCTCTCCTTGGTCCTTCTCTTCACTAAACTAGACATGCCCAGTTCCTGCAACGGTTCATCTCTGTTGTAGCCTCCAGTCCCCTAATCATCTTGGTTGCTCTCTCTCTGCGCTCTTCCTACAATCTCAGTGTCTTTTTTTACAGTGTGGTGACCAAAACTGGATGCAGTACTCTAGGTGTGGTCTTACTAAGGCTTTATAGAGTGGTCTTAGTACTTCGCGTGATCTTGATTGAATCCCTCTGTTAATGCAATTTAGGATTGCACTGGCTTTTTTCCCCTTGCTGTTGCACACTGCTGGCTCATGTTTATCTCATCACCTCGAGAGCAAAAACATCTCCTCAGAGAATGCTTTTCTTTCGACCATTTTCTTGTTCATCCTCCACATTAGCCAAGAACCAGGAGTTTCTCAGTTATATTTTTAAGCTTTTCGTTTGGCGAGATGCGAGGTCGCTCTTGACCTTCTCATGATAACTTTTACTCTGTAGCGCACAAGAGGAAAACTGGTCTTCCCACCTCAGAAAAAGCAAAAGGCAGATGAAAAACTGAACTGGCAAAACCTAGAAGAAACTTCCCACTCTTTGGATTTCCTCCCCTGGAATTCAGCACAGCTTGGTTGACGTTTTAAAAATGAGTTGTTATTATCTTGACAGCTCCAGCAGAACCTGAGGGGTAAATCCATTATTGCTGTATATTATTGTTCCTAGCTGGAGTTAGAAGCTAAGTTTTTTTTTTT